TCGGCAGGCTCCCGGGGCACTCCTGTGGTATCGCTGCTCGGCAGTGCTCCTGGCACTCCTGGGTGCCCGCTGCTCAGGCAGTACTCCCGGGGACTCCTGGTGCCCGCTGCTCGGCAGTGCTCCCGGCACTCCTGGGTGCCCGCTGCTCGGCAGTGCTCCGGCACTCCTGGGTGCCCGCTGCTCGGCAGTGCTCCCGGGCACTCTGGTGCCCGTCCTCTGGCTACCGGTCCCCGGACAGCCCTGAGCCGCAGCTCTATCAAGGGATAACTGGGAGGTGACCGAATTTGAAGGTGAATGCACAAATCCGCCCATGTGGCCTGTAGCTTCTAGAAAAAGGCATTTCATAGGGAAAACACGGGGCTGTCGGTATTTTTCTACAGACCTACGAGTGTGCAAACACTTGTGTGCCTTGTGAGAGAGCACCGCGCCCCTCGGCGGCCCCGGTGATGGCGCTCGGACGGGCTGCGGGCGGTGAGGGCGCCTCGGGGCTCGGGCCACAAACCGGCCACCACCACCATGCCCACCCAGGAGCACTCCCGAGCAGCGGGCACCCAGGAGTGCCCCAGGAGCACTGCCGAGCAGTGGATACCCAGGAGTGCCCCGGGAGCACTGCCGAGCAGTGGATACCCAGGAGTGCCCTAGGAGCACTGCCGAGCAGCACCCCGTGCTAGCAGCAGTGAGCCTGGGACCCGGTGGTGCTAGCCGGTGCTGCCCCGAGGCGGCCTCTTTCTCCGGTGACCTCCTCCAGCCCTGCTCTTGGTGCGTTCAGAGCAGGAACTCCCCTCCCTCCTAGTCTCTAGCTACGTGTGCGTTACCAAGAACGCCTGTGCTCAGCGTGAAAGCAAACGCCAAGTCCTTCCTTCTTCCTTACACGGCCATGGAGGTGGTCACCCTCTCGTGGGTTCCTGCGCCAAAGTGCTGGTTGCCGATCCCCCCGAGGCTTGGGCTTGAGGGCCAGGTGCGGGCCTCTTCCCTGGCTCCAGGAAACTTAAGGGCCTTTGTAGCTGCTACCATGTTTCCCCCAAAATAAGCCTACCCATAAAATAAGCCCTAGCAGGATTTCTAAGCATTTGCGCAATAGAAGCCCCACCCCGAAAATAAGCCCTAGTGCTGGGCGTGGCTACGCAGCGCATCTGCACAACCCACGCATTTCGTCGTGGAGCGGGAAAGAAGACGAGCAGCCCTTCTCCTCTGCCCCAGGAGAGCTCTGGTGCTCAACAGGAGAGATCGGGGCCGATGGTTCTAAAGGAAATAGAGTCGCAAGAAATTCAGGATGGGATTTGGGGTTTGGAGAGTTAGGATGATGTTCCAGAAGAAGACGACTTCACTCTATTTGAATAAATGTAGATTGCTGTGCCATACTTAAAAAAAAAATAACACATCCCCTGAAAATAAGCCCTAGGGTGTCTTCCTGAGGAAAAATAAATATAAGACCCTGCCTTATTTTGGGGGAAACACTGTATGCGCCCAAGAGGGCGAAGCTAGGCGAGAGGCCGAAGCTAAGCGAGAGGCCGGGCCATGCTCAGAGAAGGCAGGCAGACCACAGGGCCCAAAGCTGGCGCACCTGTAGCAGTAACAGGTGCGGGGGCGGGTGGGAGCACGGAGAGCTTGCCACTCAAGAAAGGCCGCTGTCCTTGAACACCGTGGGCAGGGACGTCGCTAGGTTCCGGAGCCACCTCCGAGCGGCGCCGACTAACCCACGCCCTGTGCCCCTCTCTAGATCACGCGCTGCCCGATGATCCCCTGCTACATCTCCTCGCCGGACGAGTGCCTCTGGATGGACTGGGTCACGGAGAAGAACATCAACGGGCACCAGGCCAAGTTCTTCGCCTGTATCAAGAGGAGTGACGGCTCCTGTGCGTGGTACCGCGGGGCGGCGCCCCCCAAGCAGGAGTTTCTTGACATCGAGGACCCGTAAGCAGGCGGCAGCACCCCTGTGGCCGACCGAGAAGCCTCCAAGGGTTTAGACTGGTCCAGCTCTGACATCCCCTCCTGGAAACAGCATGAATAAAACAGTCATCCACGCGGGTCCACCTTAGTATGATTCCGCCCCCACCCCGCTTTCCTTTGAGACTCGGTTGTGGGTCTGGAGGGAGAGGCGGGCCCGGGGCCCCACCCCACGCTCCCTCTGCAGCCTGGCACCATGTGTCCTGGTCTCCCGTCCCGGGCTGCAGGCGGGGGCGGGACGCACAGACTTCCCTCCCAGGCCCTGCCTCAGTGGCACCGTCGCAGACGCCGTGCCGGCAGCACCGTGGCTAGGGCGGAGCCGGGAAAGGTGCGTTTTGCAGAAACGTTCGAGGGGTTGTTGCAAGACTGTGTAGCAGGCCTACCAGGTCCCTTTCGCCTGAGGGGGCATGTCCCTCGTTTCTGCAGCTGCCACGCCTCTGGCCCCAGGTCGCATTCCTTGCCCCCTTGCAAGCGCCCCCATCTCCCCGGTGCCCTCCGGGGACTCCCCCAAGTCCAGGAGCAGCCCTGCAACCAGTGGCCTGTTCTTGAGGGAGCCCCACTTAATCCTGTTAACCCCCAGAATCCAGCGGGAGCCTCCCTCCGGGCCACAGAGAGATGCAGAAGCCAGAGGCCTCACTGAGCCATGTTTCAGCTTCAGCCAAGTCCTGTTGGTCACCCCCAGATGCCCAGCCCCCGGGGGTCTGTGAGACCCTGTCCCGAGGGCAGGCACCTGGGGGTCGAGTGGCTGCCCTCACCGTTCCCTCCTGAGCTTCTGAGTGCTCCTGCTTCCTCCCCTGCTGGCGTCGGGCGTCTAGATGGGTTGCATGGCTTTGCTTTGCCCGGGCTGTGCAGGGCCGGCGGCAGGGACTGGCTGAGCTCCCCGTTGCACGTCCGGAGGACAGGAAAGGCTGGTGTCACTGTGCCCCGACAGGGTTAGTAGCATCTCCCTCGAGACTGACAGCCGCCGTCCTACGGGTGGGTTTCTGCAGGTGACGTTAGCCAAGCATATTAAGAAGTCCCACCTAGGGAGGGAAGAATTTTGGAGGTAGGTAGCCCTGGTGACACCTCACTTCTTTCTGAGCCTCCAGGGCACTGCAGCCTGTTGTGAGAGACATCTCATTTTTCTAAAGGTGAATTGTCAGAGAACACGTGAACCTGGGTTGCAGGTGTACCAGCCTCTGCTTGTATTTCTTATATCGCAGAGATTGCCCGGTTCAGAAACCTCTTAGGGAACCTCTGTGTTCTCTAAGGATGGTTTTCTGGTGCCAGTAAAGTGGGAGTTAAGATAGGCAGAACTTCCTCAATCATGCTAAAGATAATTTCTCTTTTCCTCCTACCTGTGTTGTAAAGATAAACTGTTCTGAGGACACGCGTGCACATTATGCAAACATGCACACCCAGGGGCAGGCACACGCACGCACGCACGCAGTGAAACTGAAGTCGGGCAGCCTGCGAGTGGTCCTTCTGCAAAATGCTTCCAAATCTGCTCAGCCTGCTCTGTTCTGCAGCGACCCCAGAGCCACTGTAAGACTCCTGACCCCCGAGTGGCATGTAGCCCCCGTGCCCGCACGGGACCCGGTCAGCACAGATCTCCATGACTTCCCTTCCTGGGGCGGGCTGGGGGGAGAGGGGTACCCGGGCGTCGGCCCCTGCCCCAAGGGCGTTTCATGCTGTGTGGTAGTGAGAAGTCGGTAAGATGTCATAATGGACCAGTCGTGTGATTTCAGTATATACAACACCAGACCCTCCAATCAATAAGACACCCCACCCCGTCCGCTTCCTGTATGGTGGCACCACATGTAACATTTACTCCTGTTTCTGCCGATTTTTAAGATGTTTTGGTTTGTTTTTGACATCCGCCGTAATCATCCCCGTGCTGTGTTTTTATTACCCTTGGTAGGCGTTAGACTTGCACTTTTTTGGAAAAGGTCATTGGAAGCGTCTGACCCGGAGCGGAAGGCGCGGCATGGCCGCCAGCCTGAGACGGTGGACTCCTTCGGAGCTTTTCTGTAGTTCTTGGAGTAGTTTTGCTTTCTTCCCCAACCTCCCCCGCCTTTTGGTTTTTCTGGTTCAAATTATTACAAAGGTAAAGGATCTTTGAGTAGTTTCTGAGAGATGGTCTTTATTATATTTGATCCACCACACGCATTGGTCTTCTAACCATGCTGAGCAGAAAAGGACGAAAAACAGATCAAGATGACGTGCCCGGTGGCAGCTGAGAGACAAAGCCACTCAGACACCTTCACAGCAAATGACTGCAATATATGCACACTCTGAGCAGGACCACGCGGCGCCGTTTAATTTATGTTACGTTCTAAGCTCTGCTCCTTTCTCCCTCCCTTTCTTTTCATCCTGCGAGCAACTCAAAATATTTAAAGTAAAGTTTACATTGTAGCTATTTTCGAATCTCCGCTTGATAAGTATTAAGAAATATCGGACTTGCTGCCATAATTTAAAGCTTTGTTGATTTTGTCTGTCTTTGTTTGGATTTTTGGGTGGGAGGGGGCGGGGGGAGCAATGTGTTGATGGCTGGAGTACAAAGCCTGAGACCTTCCTGTGCTGGGAACACACGAGAGTTGTTGGAAGTCGACAAGCCGACTGCGCATGTCCCCGATGCTTTGTATCATTCCTGAGTGATCACTCGGTCCACGGACAATAAACAGTATTATCAAAGAGAACACTGCCTCTCTCTGTGTCACTGTGTCCCACGTTCAGAACTGCCACTTTCTAGCTCACGAACGGGGGCGAGGGCTGGGCATGGTGGCGCGTGCCTGTAAATCCCTGCACCCTGGGAGGCCAAGGTGGGAGGATTGCTTGAGGCCAGGAGTTTGAGATGAGACCAGCCTGGGCAACATAGTAAGACCCCTGTCTCTAAAAAAGAGAGAGAGAAAGAAAGAAAAACTTAGCCAATCGTGATGGGGTGTACCTGTAGTCCCAGCTACTCAGGAGGCCAAGGCAGGAGGATCACTTGAGTCGAGGAGTTAGAGGCTGCAGAGAGCTATGATGACACCACTATGCTCCAGCCTGGGTGACAGAGCGAGACCCTGTGTCTTTAAAAAAGAAAAAAAAAAATGGTGAGCCCCTGCCTGCAAGGAAGTTTGTCCCATCTGGGGAGGGGGGTGTCCCCATGTCCTCTAGAGAAACAGAGGCCTGCGTGTTCCGGGTGCTTCGAAGTGAGTGTGGGCCTCGGCAGAGACCGGAGCACCCAAAAGTGAATGTGGTGTCCTTCGGTGGGCAAAGAGGTAGCAGCCCACAACGGTCCTCTTCCCTCGGCAGGTGCATCTAGCATTTGTTAGGAAGCATCCCGACATCCACAAACAGAGACATGGAGCCTCACACTCACCCGCCAGCTTTGACGGCCTTCGTCCCTCTGTGCCCACGCGTGCTCCCCGGCCACCCTGCTGGAGGTCATTCGGAAAAAGAAAAGAAATTCCAGGCATCAGGGCGGGCGTGGCGGCTCAGCCTGTATCTTAATCTAACACTCGGCAGACCAAGGGGGGAGGATCGCTCAGGGTCAGGAGTTTGAAACCAGCCTGAGCAAGAGTAAAACCCTGTCTCTACTAAAATAAAAACACAGAAAAAATTAGCCGGCATGGTGGTGCATGCCTCCGTAGTCCAGCTACTCGGAGGCTGAGGCAGGAGGATGCTTGAGCCCAGGAGTTTGAGGTTGCTGTGAGCTAGGCTGACGCCACAGCACTCACTCTAGCCTGGGCAACCAAGTCGACTCTGTCTCAAAAAAAAAGAAAAAAAGAAATTCCAGGCATCAAACAGTTTGATTTGTAAATATTTCAGTACATACAGCTAAAAATAACTATTTTAAAAACATTTCCCAAAATAGCTTTATCACACCTTAAAAACTCATCTGGAATTCATTAACATCATCAAACATCTAGTCAGTGTCCCAGCATCTCTGGCTCATAAAAAATGCTTTTTTACAGCTTATTGGCTGGAAGAGGACCCAAATAGGCCCCAGACATTACAGTTGGTCTATAACGTCTCTCAGGTCTCTCTTATTCTACAGGTTTCTCCTCCCGGGGCCCCCACCCACTTCCTACTGGGAAAGATGGTCCCATCGTCATTCGAATTTTAAACAAAAGTCTCATATTATTCCAAGTCACCACATGAACATTTTCTTTCTTTCTGGTATTGACAGTTGCCTGCCCTCCAGCCCGTGCAGAATTTGCTACTCCAGGGACAGCTGGAGGAATTGGGCTTCCCGTTCTGTGCAGCGACTACCTATGAAGCAAGAACATACTCATGGATGCCTTTCTGAAGCGGTAAAGATTTGGCGGAACAGGGCCGGGCGCGGTGCTCACGCCTTAAATCCTAGCACTCTGGGACGGCGAGGCGGTGGATTGCTCGAGGTCAGGAGTTTGAAACCAGCTGAGCAGAGTGAGGACCGTCTCTATATAAATAGAAAAAATAATTGGCCACTAAAAAATATATGAAAAAATAGCCGGGGCATTGGTGGCGCATGCCTGTAGTCCCAGCTACTTGGGAGTGAGGCAGGAGGATCGCTTGAGCCCAGGAGTCTGAGGTTGTGTGAGCTAGCTGGATGCCATGGACTCTAGCCAGGCAACGGATGAGACTCTGTCTGGAAAAAAAAAAAGTTGTCGGATCATGTTTGCACCAGTTTCTGTGTCAGGACATTAAAAGCGAACCACTTAGTATCACCTACTGCAGAAACATTGTTCCTGGCTGCTGTTATTCACATGGCCATATCTTAGAAGTGTGCGGTGGCACATTATAATAGTAATATGAAAAACTTCGGGGTCATATAGACAAACTTACTTGGCGTTTGCAGGCCCCATTTGGGGTCTTAGCAAACAACACACCCGATGATGGCTACTCGTTTCATTTGTTTATATGCTTAGGTCAAACAGGACTTTAAATAAAAAAAAACTCATTATGGAAATATTTAAAACATATGCAAAAATGCAGGGCTTTTCCAGGTGGCTCACGCCTGTAATCCTAGCACTCTGGGAGGCCGAGGCGGGAGGATTGCTTGAGGTCAGGAGTTCAAGACCAGCCTGAGCAAGAGTGAGACCCCGTCTCTACAGAAATAGAAAAATTAGCCAGGCATGGTGGTGGCACCTGTAGTCCCAGCTACTCGGGAGGCCAAGGTGGAAGGATCGCTTGAGCCCAGGAGTTTGAGGTTGCTGTGAGCTAGGCTGACCCCACTGCACTCTAGCAGGGGTGACAAGAGTAAGACCCTGTCTCAAAAAAATTATAGTAATGCAGGGAATGGTATAACAAACCACACGTGTCCATGCTCCAGTTTCAACAATTATCCAAGGTTTGTCGATCTTTGCAAACAGTTTTAAATCGGTCTGTAGCCCCACAGATGGGGTAACCAGATTGCCAGGGACACCAGGAGACACCATTGTTTCCGGAACCCTCATTCTGGCTCATTCCGTGGGAAAAAAAAAGCAAATGGGATAACTGTGGGCCGCCTGGCTCAGTGGTCAAAACAGTCACGGACAGAGACACGTGGATTCAAGATGGAAATGCAGCAACAGACACCGCGGGGTCCGATCCAAGGGATTGGCCAGGTTGGGGGCAGCCTCCCGGCCTGGTTAAAGCACTTTGGAGCTCATGGAGCAATTCGAGACTGGTTCTAGCACACAACAGGGGCTCTATCTTTTCCTCCTAATTATCGATGGCTATTTTTACCTGATGTAACTTTAAAAAAAATCAAACCAAAACAGCGGGTTACAGATACTTCACTAGCGTCGGTTTCATTATAGGCGAATGGCTGTTGCCATGGATTCTGCATTAAGACTTTGAGGTTCGTGTATGACCAGGTTTATCTTTAGCTTTAGGTTCAAGCTTTGGGCTGCCCCATAGCCCACCTGGCCACCGAAGCCGTGACTCATCGTGCGGTGAAAGGCGGAGCTTTGATCTGGAGAAGCATCTAGCTCTAATAGCAGGTTTTCTCCTCCAAGAAACAAATTGATTGTGGGAGGGGGGGGAAGGCATTCTGAGACTTAAGGTAATTCCATATATTTTCATTCCCTAACAACTCAGAGAAACATCCCTTTCCAATTAAACTAGCAAAACAGAAACGTAACATAAATCCCAATCAGAGCTGAGAGTGTAGGGCTGGGGTGGATTTCAGAGGGGGTTGAGTATTAGGGAGAGTTGGGGATGGGATCAAACACGGGGTGCAGAAGTGACACTGCACACATTATAGAGAAATAGAGCTGTGGGCGTGGTGGTGCCTGTAGTCCCAGCTGCTGGGAGACTGAGGCAGGAGCATCGCTCGGGCCCAGGAGTTGGAGGTTGCAGTGAGCCATGATCACGCTGCTGCACTCCAGCCTGGGTGACGAAGCGAGACCCTGTCTCTGAAAGTTAATGTTTATTTTTAGGCCGATGTGTCTTGTTTTGCCCCTTGCAGGTACCAGACACAAGCTTCCCAAAGTCCCCTCCCTGGGGAGTCACTCGGGATGCACTTCATCCCCCCAGCAACGAGCTGTGACAAAGCGTGTGTCATGTTGCCAACTAGCAAAGCTTGCCAGAGACCCAGTGTCCAAGGCTTCACTGGGAGCTGGGCACAGAAGGCATGGAGCGAAATTCCACACTTCCAGAAGGAAAGTAGGTGTTCGGCATAAACAAACAGTTGAGTCACCGTGAGCCATTGTCAGGGAACCCTCCCAAAAGCCAGAGTCCCAGCTGCCAGTCTCGCAGGCAGCCCTTCCTAAGAAGACTGGTCTCAGGCCTGCAGCTGTCGCCATGTTGCACACAAGTCCTGTCCGTCCCCTTTCTGCAGCCTTTCCCCCAGCCGAGGAGACTCTGCTGCTAAACGCTCCTGGGCAAACGCTTAGGCAATCATTGCATTAAATCTAATAATTCTAACAACAGCTAACAGAGGTCATACTCATGATGCGGGCTCAGGACTTCACGCACCTTATCCCGCTTGATGCTCGCTGACTCTGTGACGGGTCCTCTTGCCCAGTTGACAGGTGAGGAGACAGAGGCCAGGGCGGTGGCTTGGCCTGGCCATAGATGCTGGCACCAGGCTCTGAACCCAAGGGGAGCGGACCCTAGGCCAGCTCTGCAGTGGCTCATGCTCCTGCCTCTTCCTCTGCCCCCGGGGGACCAGGAGCCTCCGTCAAAGACGCGGCTTGAGCAGAAGCAAGTTTCCTTCTGCAGGTCGTCCCCACCCAGCAGCAGGTGAAAACTCACACTTACAGGAAGAGCCTCTGCAGTGGCTGGGTGGTCAGTTTTGGTTCGCGGTGTGTGTGTGTGTTTTTAAAGCAATGATGACAACGACAAAATCCTAGTCTCAGTCAAGACACCTTATCACGCCAAGACACCTTGTTACAAGTTGTAATTCCCAAAATTAAACAAGGGTAAATTCAACTGCCTGGAGAGTTCATCTACATATAATTTATCTTCCAAACCAGGACCCTTTGCAGAGAGAAAAGAGCTGCTATTAACAATGAGTGGGGCGTGAACCAGGACTGTCCTGAGCAAACCAGGATGCACGGCCACCCCGTCTGTGCAGGACGTCTTCCCTGGCCACCCCAGGTGGGTCTAATCCCCCTCTGCTGTTGGTCCCAGACCCCAGTACTTGTCCTTGGTCACAGCAGCCCTCACAACCCCGGGGCCCCAAAGCCTCAGCCTGCCTTCCTGCGATCTGCCAGAGAAGGTGAAGCAGTTAAGGCAGCACTTGCCG